GCCCCCCCCCCCCCGCCCCACTACGGGTCTGCACTGGATGGGGTGTGGCTTCTCCTCAGGCTGGGGTTTAACTTGTTCCTGTGCTCGTCTCCCCCTGCCCCCCCGCCCCCTTGGCTAGAGGACTCAGGGTCCTTGGTTGACGTCCCCAGTGAGCCCATGGTGACCTGCAGGTCCCCTTGGCCCGCTCCTGGAAGCCGGGCACCTCCCGGTGGCTGTCAGCTTTGCCTCGGCCGAGGTGCAGCTCTTTCGCCAACGACGGCGGGGAGTCAGGTCCGTCTCCCGCGTTGGGACCTTCGTCCGCAGGTTTGACCGTCTTCTCAGGCCCAGCCTTAGCTTCAGCCTGTGCAGCTCCGCTAGGCTCCCCCACCCCTTCCTGGAGGGGATGCCACTGAGTTAGGGAGAGGGCGACTCTCCCGTGGCGGGCACTGCAGGTGGGGAGCTCGGCCGCTGTGCAGCTGGCCACGTCGGGGCACAGCACGGGGCTCGGGCCGAGGGGCTCGGGGGCCGGATGGCTCCCCTGGGATGGAGAGTTACACCAGCGGGACCTTCCAGAGGCTCCTGTCTCCAGCTGGGCCCTGCGAGTCCACGTCTGGTCCCCGCCCCCCCCCCCCCCCCCCCCCCGTCTCCCCCCTTGCAGTCAGTTTAGGTTTCAAGGGAAAAATGCTGTTTTTCATACTTTTAAAGGCTGAATTTTTATTTCGGGCAATAACAGTCTTTCTTCGATATTTTCTTAGTGTAATCCCATTAACATCAGACTTTAAAAATAGAATGATAGAATGAGAGTTTTATTTGCTTTTCCCAGCACGCTTGGGGCCCCAGGCATGTGGCAGGCACCCCCAAAACACACCTCGATGGTGGGTGTGCACAGGTGAGGCAAAGGCGCCATCATTAACGACAGCAGTCCCCGACCCCATGGAAATTCTCGGCACCTTCATCCCGTTTCTCACTCTAACAGGAACCTGGCCATAGGGGAGGGGTCATTCCCATTCTGCAGAGAGAACAACTGGGGATCTGGGATGCCTAAGGTCATTCGTGCAGGTGGAACTCTGGGAGCAGGTGGGAGCTTGGGCTCCAGTTGGGGTCACCTGGCCCCCGTGTCCACCCATGGGCCAGGGTGCCGAGCCTTGGCTGACTGACAGCGGCCATCCGACGGGTTGCCGTCGGAACGGTCCTCCTGGTCCATCTGACTGGAAAGTCAGGGCTCCGTGCCCGCACAGTCACGCCCCATCCACATCGGGTCTGGGGTGTAATTGAAGGTGTATCCCCTGGAGCCACGGCGACCTTGCAGTGGACGTCCTGGTCTTTGTTTAAGCCTTTGCCCTCTGGTCTCCGTGCCACCTAAGCATTCTTTTGAACCAGAACACATGAGAGCATCTTGGTCTGTGGGGTTGTGTCAGGGCCTATCGTTCTGTCCTCAGTGACAGCTAATTAGTGCGGTTTTGTGCGGTTCATATACAGAAGGCCACCCTGCGTCGCTTCCCTCCTGGGGTGGGGGTGGGGGGGCCCGGGAGGCTGGTGGCCTGACTCGAGACTCTGCTCAGCCCCTGTGCTGGAGGGTTGGTTTGCCTGCACGTGAAGCTTTGAAGAGAAGCTGTGACACTGGGTTCCTGCTTCTCTTTCTGGGCTCATAAGGACTATTCACGGTTTGTAAGAGCCTGGAGTAGCGTCTCTAGTCAAGGATTCCAGATGAAGAGAATTAGTGAGTCCAGTCCCCCTGCAGTCTTAAAATGAAGGACTGAGGCTGAAAGCAGTCCTGCAGGCCGACTGGAGAGCCCTCAACTCTTCAGAAACAACCTAGTAGGGAGTTGATGGAAACACTCCGGAAGTGACCCCTGTATTTTAACTTTCTAAGCAGACGATGTCTGGTGCCCAGCGTCCACAGGCTGCACCCTCCCTGTGTGGGGAGGGCGGGTGGTGGATGTCAAGCATGGGTGGGTCGCGTGCAGCCACGTGTCTCTTGGGAACCAGAGCACAGGTGGGGACGCCTGCCTGTCACCAGAGTCCCCACCCGGGGCCCTCCCCTGACCACAGGCAGGGTCACCCACGTGTCCGAGCCCTCCCGCAGGAGAGATCCCAGCTCGTCCAGCAGACGTCGCCGGCTTTGCAGGAGGGAGGCATCAAATCGTGGAGTGAAACAACCCCCGAAATCGGGGCGAGCTGGGGAAGCTGAGGCCGCCCCCGGGCTGACGTGCGGCACACCTGGCTGCGAGAGGAGCCTGTGGCCGTGTTTCCCGCTGCACTGCTCCCCGGGGGGCAATGGGGCGCCCACCACAGAGGCTCTGTGTCCCCCGCCTGCCTGTGGCCACGTGCCGGACTGGTTCCAGCACCCCTGCCCCTCAGAACCTTTGGGAGAGCATCCCAGGTGCTCCAGAAATGTCTGGCAAGGCCGGGATTGGGATTCTCAGCCCCTTCACCTTTTCGGGCAGTCGGCTTCATGGAATGTGTCCTAATCCTGGAGGCGTCCAGGAAGCCTGTCTGTCCCTCCTCGTGACCTGGAACGGCTTGTTTTGCCAGACTCTCTGGTGGGCAGGGCCAGCCTCGCCCCATCTCGGGGTGAGAGGGCACGGCGCAGGATTTCCTCCACGACACAGCTTCCAAGAGGAAAGCCAAGCGCCGACGGCACCGAGCTGCCCGTCTCTTGCTTAATCGTCCCAGGAGGCCGTGCGGGAATGGGGGCGGGTGGTCTGACCCCAGCAGAAAGGGATGGGCGCGCGGGAGCAGCCAGAGGTGCCCGTGGGGCCTGGAAACCGTGGTGAAGCCGGTCCCACCGGCTCTGGCCTGGAGCCGCCCTGGGCCAGCGTGGCCCTCGTGGTGGTCCCGCGCCCCCTAGTGCCTGTGAACATGGTGTCTGGGGACCAGAGCAGGTCCTCAGGAAATACTCGAGGCGTCTGAGCTCAAGCTCGCATCCAGTTTTCTCCACTGTCTGAAGGAAGGTGGGTCCCCCTCTCCAGGACTCTGCCCTGGCCCAGGCTGGCCGTGCGGAACACGACTTCTGTCCTTTTGTCACAGCCCGGGGTGTTTGTTTGGCTGCTGGGGCCCCTGGGGGCGGGTCGGGGCAGGCCACACGCGCCCCCAAGGCTGGGCAGGCTCCGAGTCTGAGTTCCCCCCTGACAACAGACTCTCATGGCTAGCCCTGTTGTGGCCACGGGGCTCCTGCAGCCCCTGGTGCGGTGCCTCTTCTGGAAGTTACGGTGGACGGAGGGGGCTGTTTCTGCCAGCTGGCGTGGGCCTTGGATCGAAAGGGGGTGGTTCAGAGGGAAAGGTAATCCCAGGAAACTTCCTGTGCCCTGGGCGTCCACCACGTGGTTGACACAGAGACCCATCCTAGAAAGCCCACTGGGAATTTTCCCGGGCAGCCCCTGGGGGTTGCGGGGCGAGGCCCAGGACTGCTCCAGAGAGAGGCTGCGAGGGTTAGCCCGCCTCTGGGGAGACACTGGGTGAGAGAGGAGGCACTTCCCGGTGCTCCAGGACCCGCCACCCTGCCCCCAGATATCGCCGTGCTGGGTTCCGAGACCCGCCTCCCCGTCTCAGCGTTTTGGTACCGTGCTGTGTCTTAGCGGTAGCGCTGCGGGCCTGTGAGAGGGTCACCGCCTGCTCCTGAACTGACAGTGCTGCTTTTAGTTGCTGGGGTGGTCGTCTCCAGCTACTAGGTGAGAAACCGCCCCAGATGTGGGCACTGCTGCGGGAGGGGCCGGTCGGGGCCCAGCTGCTGGGCTTGTGGGGCAGGTGTCTTGGCTGGGTCCTCCGTCTCGCCACTGCCGGCCTGGGGCAGGGGCAGGGAACGGCATGGCCTTGCAGCTGCCCCAGCTCAAGGGCAGTCTTCCTGCATGTGTAGAGCAGGCCTCCTGGGGAGCGGCGGGGGGGGGGGGGGGG